CTCCCAATCCGCCTCTATATCCACCGCCATAACCAATGCCTCCAGGGGCAGCCATTGCAGAGGAAACCAGGGCTGCCAACCCCATGAAGACATATACGAAATTCTGCAAGAACATAACAATGAATAATTAATGACTATATCAATTATATTGATAAGAATCATAATTCTAGTACAAATATTATTGCTAATGATAAAAATAATGACATATATAAAAATTCCAACATAAGTACAAGTATGAAGAGCTTCGTCATTTAGTCAATATGGAACTAATCTGATATCGTAACTCCGTCATTATAACTAAAAATTTGACAGTCTTCTCCAAATTTTTGTGACTCATTTTTACATAGATTCAGCGCTTCCTAGCTTAACCCAGAGCATCTTTTTACAGCTTAACTGTAGAAGTTATTCTCGGCACTTTTATATCTCCATCTATGGCCCTCATTCTGTTGTTTCTAGCTTTGAACATGGCATCTTTCTGTACTAGTACCAGACGTGTGCAACTGACCATTGTGGGGAACGAGAGCAACACAGCGGCTGGTGTCAGGGAGGTGACTGATCTCTGCTACACAGTTCCTCCCTTATATACGTTCACACCCGCCGGGTAACCTTGGTACTCCGCCTTTGTCTACATAGTCGATTAGAAAATTTTTGGTTTAGAATTCAATATTATACAACATTATATAATAAGTTTCAGTCGAATGCTTAATTAATGTTAGGGATTCAGGTGAGTTTAAAGGTTATATTTGTGGGAAGAAGTTAGTTTCCTTTGATTTTATTTACGAAAATATGATACAAATTACTGTACTTGTTTATTATTAGAAAAACTTATTTTAAATATCTGCTTTTCAACCAATTATTTATAATATTTGTAATATCTTTTGTAATGTTATACTTACACTTTCAAGGTGTCCCAGAATTAGTTATAAATTCAAATGAAATCACTCTAACCTATTAAAAACCTTCATAATTCCAAGGTATTACCTAGTTTTGATACAAAAACAGGTAGATTTATAAATATCAAGCCACATCTATATTGAGAAATTCAGGAAATGCTCTTTCTGTTTCCCAGCATATTTCGAATATAACCTAAACATTCCGAAAACATTTTGTACAGATCCAGTTCTTTTTAATGTGTTCACAAGTACATGAATCGCTTTATATATACGACCGATTCTATGAGATTTCCTTGTAAACCTTTCATTTCATTACATCGAAATCCTTTGATAGGGGAAGTCACAACAAAGGTGCATTTTTTAGATGTCATTATTTGGATTAGTGAACTGAAAAACAGATGAAATAATTTATAATTTTTCATATATATATAACACGCAATAAACAAGATAACCGTCAAGAAACAAGAGTTGTTTTTTTTCATCCAGTTTCATAGAAATAGATAATTCTGGAACACTCTTTATTTCTCGGGAAAATTATTATATTAATAACAACGAATTAAAGAAAATGACCGTTTTGTGTTTGGTATGTTAATTTGTATTTCTTTAAGTGAATAAACAACTACATAAATAAAACTAAACGCCCAGAAAAAATCTGCACATATGCAATTCAGTTCTTACTAAGATGTTACATCAAATAACTAAACTTAGATAAATGAAAATTATCCGGAACAACTATTTTACCTCTTAAATTCTTATGCAATGTTATCAGTAGTCTTGAGTTAATATATGTTAATAAATAAACAGAACTTAAATACACTTCAAATTTAAATTGACGAATTCTTCTTTCGTTCTCCTGCCGCTTGGACAAACACAGCCTTAATATAGGTTGCTACAAGCATTACCCTCATACTGTTAACACGAATAATTCTTAATAGAACCAATCATCTAACCTAACTTATGCTTAGCAATACTCGAAAATATTGAATATATAATTTTGTATTTGAGGAAATATAAAGGTTTAAAAAATCTTTGATATATTAATATAAATATAAATTGTATAAATTTCGTTTTATAAAAATCATAAAAATGGTTTATGAATATATGTTTGAGAACGGCTGGTGCGTGACTACCAATGTCATAGGATTTGTTAAAATACCCATTATTGCCATGAGGTCCAAGCACCTAATCTTGACCAAACTATGCAAATCATTCTATACAACAATAATTATTATTAGTTTTTTTTCCAAACAGAAAAAAATAGCGGCATCCCACGTTTGTGTCTGTTAGTGAGGACATTGAGTTTGGGTAATTATCAAAATATCATGACAACCCATCCTAGACATTGGCCTTTCAATCCACCAGATTTTATAATGCGTATTTGTTAAAATTTCTTTCACGACTTTATTTAAAAACCGAAATTAGTTCAGGAATTTAATATTATTATGTGTGAATGTTATACACATAGGCCAAAGTTGAGTTAGGTAAGATTCTTCTGTTTTGTTCACAAACTTTTGCATCGAGAAAATCTACAATCACTCATTAAGCGACTCTAGCCCAGCCTGCTGTTATCACCGAAACTGCTGAGTGTAAGACAAATTGTAACTTAGAAAACATAAATTACTAATTATATATTCAAAGCCCGGATTCGGTTAAGCCAAGATCATGTGTATTATATATAGTCACAGGACAATTTTGATTTTATTTTGAATTAAGAGTATGTAAGTGAAACATTTCAATCCGTCATCAGACTAAGTCCATTCCACATATCGGTTGACCCCAAAGACGCATTCATAAATTTTAACATTCTGGTCATTCAAAATAAGAATTTTCTTAAATATAAATAAATATTACTGAGAAATGACATTAACGCGATATATCAAAGAACAAATCCACAGGAGCAGCCTTGAAGAGGGTTCGAACATATGCGCTCAATTTTTTTCGAGTGAGGCTAAGCCTAAGTTAAGCTAGATGATTTGGTTATATTAAAAATTTGTTGCGTTAACAGTACGGAGGTAATATATGTAACAACCCCATCTTCAGGCAGTGTTTGTCCAAGCCGCAGCTGAACCAAAGAAGAATTCGTCAGTTTAAATATGACGTGTATTCAAAATCTGTTTCTTTTTAAAATATATTAGAATTTTTGTATAGTTGGGTTTAGATTATGCAAGGTTAGGTGTTTAGGTTCTGCTAAGAAGGAAATATGTGTATTCATGGGTGAAGCATTTATAGTGTTGTGATTCGAACAGAAAAAGTGAGTAAATCATTGCTGGAATAAACTTGAAACGGAATCAGTTGTAGTTTTTGTGGTAACTGGATTATATTGACAAAAATCCGTTTTATTGGCATAATTAATGAATTTTCAAATATTGTAAATAAAATGTTACGAAATATACTTTTAATATCATCAAGACATTACAGTCAAAAGTGAATTGAAATCTATAACTTCAAATTGACGTTGTTAGGTACTTCTTATACTTTAAATATTTCTCAATGGAGTTAAAATTAGCAAAAATTTATTTAAAATTGATTTGTGGAAAATTAACCTAATACAACGTAGATAATTGCTTAATAATCTCATTATGTAAATATTGTAAGATGGAAGGCCAATGTACTTTATATCATAAGGAACAGTAATTAACGAGTTGGAGAAAAAGATTTTTCAATTGTCAAAGGATGTGATAAGAAATAGAAATAGAAAAACAGAAAGTGTGATAAGAAAAGAAATAACAATTATTTAAGAAAAAGACTTAAAAACGATATCTGAAAAAAGAACAAGTCCGACCCAAACAAAATATTTTAAAGTCCCAATTGTATTCTCCTTATTTAAACAAAGATTGTACAAAATTAAGAAAGTAAAACAAGAGTCAGTAAACATGTTTTCTTATCATAGCAGAAAAGCCAGCATTTTCATTATATACATATACGACAGAAGAAAGACGTTTCTATTAACTTCATTCTCAATAATAAGTTGTTTGCTGAATGTTAACATTTGAGAAAATATGCAATGGTTTAATATTATTTTCATGATGCTTAAGTAGGAGCCCAAAAGATCATCCATCTTGCCTCTCAAAATCTAATGTAAGGCCAAGAGGCCCACTAGCATTCATTTCTTCAGGACTCTCTCATTAAATATACACAACTCTTATGAAGTGTACACAATACTAACCTTCATGAAGTGTGCACAATACTAACCCTCATGAAGTGTTCACAAGACTATTCCACACGAAGTGTATACAAAACTATCCCTCAGGAAGTGTACACAAAACTATCCCTCAGGAAGTGTACACAAAACTATCCCTCATGAAGTGTACACAAAACTATCCCTCAGGAAGTGTACACAAAACTATCCCTCAGGAAGTGTACACAAAACTATCCCTCATGAAGTGTACACAAAACTATCCCTCAGGAAGTGTACACAAAACTATCCCTCAGGAAGTGTACACAAAACTATCCCTCATGAAGTGTACACAAAACTATCCCTCAGGAAGTGTACACAAAACTATCCCTCAGGAAGTGTACATAAAACTATCCCTCATGAAGTGTACACAAAACTATCCCTCATGAAGTGTACACAAAACTATCCCTCAGGAAGTGTACACAAAACTATCCCTCAGGAAGTGTACACAAAACTATCCCTCAGGAAGTGTACACAAAACTATCCCTCATGAAGTGTACACAAAACTATCCCTCATGAAGTGTACACAAAACTATCCCTCATGAAACGGACACAAAACCATCCCTCAAGAAGTGTAATTTATACTATCCCTCGTGAAGTGTACACACAACTATCCCTCATGTAGTGTACACAAAACAATCCCTCTTGAAGCGGACATAAAACTATCACTAATGAAGTGTACACAAGACTAAATTAGTTATCCCTAAACGTCAAAGCATAAACAAAACCTGTGAAGTAATTGAAAAAGCATATTGACCATAAATATATTTCATCAGAAACAAAATAACAACAGTTGGTTTCACATTAAGAAGTGTCATAATTTTCTTCCAAAGTCTGCATCATAAGAAATATATGTTTTCGTAATTTTGACAGAGGGATTGAATTATAGACTTCCGTGAACAGCATATATATATTTAAAAATATGCAAATTTAAAAATATTGTTTACAAATATATAATATATTTTAATATTATGGCTTTGCTTTTCTTATGTGGTTGGAGAAATAGGATATTTATTTTCCATAACCACCATAGCCACCGCCGTATCCTACACCACGTCCAAAGCCCAGACCTAGGCCATGTCCTCCATAGCCACCACCATATCCGCCACCATGTCCCAAATTGAAGTTGATATTAGCTCTTCCACCAGCGTAGCCTCCATAACCAGCGCCGTAGCCTCCGTATCCACCACCAAATCCTCCTCCATATCCACCGCCGAATCCTCCCAATCCGCCTCTATATACACCGCCGAATCCTCCCAATCCACCTCTATATCCACCGCCATAACCAATGCCTCCAGGGGCAGCTATTGCAGAGGCAACCAGGGCTGCCAACCCCATGAAGAACAGTACGTATTTCTGAAAGAACATAACGATGAATAATTAATAACTATATCAATTATATTGATAAGCATCATAATTCTAGTACAAATATTATTGCTAATGATAAAAATAATGACATATATAAGAATTCCAACATAAATACAAGTGTGAAGAGCTTCGTAATTTAGTCAATATGGGAACTAATCTGATATCGTAACTCCGTCATTATAACTACAAATTTGACAGTCTTTCCGAAATTTTTGTGACTCATTTTTAAATAGATTCAGCGCTTCCTAGCTTAACCCAGAGCATCTTTTTACAGCTTAACTATAGAAGTAATCATGACTCATTTATATCTCCATCTATGGCCCTCATTCTGTTGTTTCTAGCTTTGAACATTGCATCTTTCTCTGCAAGTACCAGACGTGTGCAACTGACCATTGTGGGGAGCGAGAGTAACACAGCGGCTGGTGTCAGGGAGGTGACTGATCTCTGCTACACAGTTCCTCCCTTATATACGGACACACCCGCCGGGTAACCTTGGTACTCCGCCTTTGTCTACATAGTCGAACAATTTTGGTTTAGAGTTCAATATTATATAACATTTACTAATTTATTTTAGTAGAATGTTTAATTAATGTTTGACACTCAATTTAGTTTAAGGTTATATATGTGGTAAGAAGTTAGTTCCCTTTGATTCTTTATATGAAAATATGATACATTTGTTTATTATTAAAAACTTATTTTAAATACCTACTTTTCACTCAATTATTTATAACATTTGAAATATCTTTTGTAATGTTAACTTACACTTTCAAGGTGTCCCACACGTATTGAAATAATGTAATGAAATCAGACTAACTTATTATAAAATCTAAATAATTTCATGGTATTCCCTAACTTTATTACAAAAACAGATAGATTTATTAATCACAAGTCAAATCTTAATTGAGAACTTTCAACATATGCTCCGTCTGTATCCCCGCATATTTCAAATATAACCTTAACGTTCGAAACCACATTTTGTTCGGATTCAGTTCGTTTAAATGTGTTCACAAGTTCACATATTACTCTGTCTATTGGGCGGATTCTATGAGATTTCCTAGTAAATCTTCTATTTCATTAAATTGCAATCCTTTGATATGGAATGTCTCCAAAAAAGTTTTGTGAAGTCATTATTTGGTTTCGGGATCTGAAAAACAAATGAAATATTTTAGATTTGTTCATATTTATAACACATATTAAACAAGATAGCCGTCAATAAACAAGAGTTTGTTTTGTAAATTAATCCGGTTTATGAACAAATCCGGTTCGTTCGGGCTTATCCGGTTTATGAATTATTCCGGGTTTAAACAAGTTAGTTTTTTGTAAATTAATCCGGTCTCATAGAAATAGCTAATTATATTAATAACAACGAATTAACAGTTTGTGTTTCGTTTTATGTTAATTTGTGTTTCTTTAATTGAATAAACAACTACATAAGTGAAGCTAAAAATTCAGAAAAAATCTGTACATATGCAATTCAGTTCTTCCTAAGACGTTACATCAAATAACTAAACTCATATAAACAAAAATAATCCTGTACTACTATTTAACCTCTTAAATTATAATATAATGTTATCAGTAATGTTGAGTGAAGGACGTCTCGGTCATAAAGAAGTGTATCAATACGAGAAGAATACTAGTCTAACATTACCAAACACCATCTGAAAATTACCAATATTACTCAGTTACTGAGTAATATTGTTCCTGAGTAATATTGTTACTGAGTTCAGTTCTTTTAATTTGAGTTAAAACTAACATAGATATATGACCGAACCTAACCAACCCTGCCTAACCTAACCTACCCTATCTTAACCTAACCAAAACTAACATAACTGTCAATAATTTATGTTCTTAACATAATATAATAATAATATTACAAATAAACCAATTTGAAACAATATATTGAAAACAAAGAAAATCACTCGGCCTATTAGGCAAAACGGGCCTTGCATGGTAGGCCGAGAAGTATATATATATATATATATATATATATATGCGAACAAGCCTGAATGGTCCCCAGGACTATATGCGAATGAATATATATATATATATATTCATATATATATATATATATATTCATATATATATATATATATATATATATATATATATATATATATATATATATATATATATATGTCTCCATAACCAGAGAAGTGCGTTCTGGCTATTAGAAGTGCGTTCTGGCTATAGTTTACAGAAAACACACACTTATATAACAATATAACAGTATACCAATCAGTGTTCGAAGACCTCGTCCAGTTCCTCTGGGGTCGGGTGCGTACCCAAGATGCAACACGCAATATATATATATATATATATATATATATATATATATATATATATATATATATATATATATATATATATATATATATATATATATATATATATATATATATATATATATATATATATGTTGTACCTAGTAGCCAGAACGTCGTACTCGGCCTACTATGCAAAGCCCGATTTGCCTAATAAGCCAAATTTTCCTGAATTAATATATTTTCTCAAATTTTTTTCTTATGAAATGATAAAGCTACGCATTTCATTATGTATGAGGTCAATTATATTTTATTGGAGTTAAAATTAACGTAGATATATGACCGAACCTAACCAACCCTACCTAACCTAACCTAACCTATCTTTATAGATTAGGTTAGGTTAGGTAGCCGAAAAAGTTAGGTTAGGTTAGGTTAGGTAGGTTAGGTAGTCGAAAAAACATTAATTCATGAAAACGTGGGTTATTAGGCAAATCGGGCCTTGCATAGTAGGCTGAGAAGTGCGTTCTGGCTACTAGGTACGACATATATATATATATATATATATATATATATATATATATATATATATATATATATATATATATATATATATATATATATATATATATATATATATATTAGTATATTTTGGTAGCAGTCTTTCCTGTAGACATATATTATTAAATATGACCGAAAAAGTAAGATTAATAATTCTAACACGAATTTTTCGATCTTTCTTCTGTTTCTTTTCACTGTTGATAGTAATTGAAAAATCAATTCTCCAAAATTCATTTTTATTTCTAGTCTGACGCGACACTTGAGCGCGTTTCGTAAAACTTATTACATTTTCAAAGACTTAATTTACACACATACACAACTATAACTGAATAGAGCTTAAACATCTTCGATTTTTTATACCTGCATTTGGGTGAGGTGATATGTTACAACAGTTTTGGATGAGGTGAAAACAAACTTTCAACACAAGCCAGAATACGAAACAATGGGTATTGAAGGTAAGAATGGAAGTAATTGCAGAGGGCCTATTGGCCCATATTTCTTGATGCTTCTATATTGAAGCGGAGTCTTGAAGTGTGTAGAATATAGTTGTGCTTTAATTGGCTGTTGATTGCTGGTGTTGACTTCTTGATGTGTAGTGCCTCGCAGATGTCAAGCCGCCTGCTATCGCTGTATCTATCGATGATTTCTGTGTTGTTTGCTAAGATTTCTCTGGTGATGGTTTGGTTGTGGGAAGAGATTATATGTTCCTTAATGGAGCCCTGTTGCTTATGCATCGTTAAACGCCTGGAAAGAGATGTTGTCTTGCCTATATACTGAGTTTTTTGAGGTTTACAGTCCCCAAGAGGGCATTTGAAGGCATAGACGACTTTGGTCTCTTTTAAAGCGTTCTGCTTTGTGTCTGGAGAGTTTCTCATGAGTAGGCTGGCCGTTTTCTTGGTTTTATAGTAAATCGTCAGTTGTATCTTCTGATTTTTGTCTGTAGGGATAACGTTTCTATTAACAATATCTTTCAGGACCCTTTCCTCCGTTTTATGAGCTGTGGAAAAGAAGTTCCTGTAAAATAGTCTAATAGGGGGTATAGGTGTTGTGTTAGTTGTCTCTTCAGAGGTTGCATGGCGTTTCACTTTCCTTCTTATGATGTCTTCAACGAAACCATTGGAGAAGCCGTTGTTGACTATGACCTGCCTTACCCTACAGAGTTCTTCGTCGACTTGCTTCCATCCTGAGCTGTGGCTGAGAGCACGGTCGACATAAGCGTTAACAACACTCCTCTTGTACCTGTCTGGGCAGTCACTGTTGGCATTTAGGCACATTCCTATGTTTGTTGCCTTAGTGTACTGAACTTGAAACCGGCCATATACTGCAGGTATGTTGACGACATTTTTACACAGGTACCTGATATCAGACATCTGCAGGAGCTGAAGGAGGCATTTGAGCAGAATTCAGTGTTGCGTTTCACTTACGAGATGGAGAAGGATGGGAAGCTGCCTTTTCTAGATGTAACAGTCATGGAAAGGAGCGGAGGTTTCCATACTGCAGTCTACACTAAGGAAACAAACATAGGAATGTGCCTAAATGCCAACAGTTTACGAAACGCATTCAAGTGTCGCGTCAGACTAGAAATAAAAATGAATTTTGGAGAATTGATTTTTCAATTACCATCGACAGTGAAAAGAAACATAAGAAATATTGAGAAAATTCGTGTTAGAATTATTAATCTTACTTTTTCGGTCTTATTAAATAAAATATATATATATATATATATATATATATATATTATTAAATATGACCGAAAAAGTAAGATTAATAATTTTAACACGAATTTTCTCAATCTTTCGTACAATATGCTTCACTGTTGGAGGTAAATCAAAAATCACTTCTCCAAAATTCATTTTTATTTCTAGTCTGACGCGACACGGGCGCGTTTCGTAAAACTTATTACATTTTCAAAGACTTCACAAATACACAACTGATTAGAACTTGCGTTTCCCTGATTTTATATCTACATTTGAGTGAGGTGGGAAGGGTGATGTGGCATTACATTTGAGTGAGGTGGGAAGGATGATGTGGCATTAACGCAAGACAGAACACTAGAGGATATTAATAGGGTATTAAAAGTATCAACACAAGACAGAACAGAAACAATGGGTATTGAATAGAAGTGTTTGTAGAAAGCCTATTGGTCCATATTTCTTGATGCTTCTCTATTGGAGCGGAGTCTTGAGGTGGGTAGAATATAGTTGTGCAATAATTGGCTGTTGATTGCTGGTGTTGACTTCTTGATGTGTAGTGCCTCGCAAACGTCAAGCCGCCTGCTATCGCTGTATCTATCGATGATTTCTGTGTTGTTTACTAGGATTTCTCTGGCGATGGTTTGGTTATGGGAAGAGATTTTATGTTCCTTAATGGAGCCCTGTTGTTTATGCATCGTTAAACGCCTAGAAAGAGATGTTGTTGTCTTGCCTATATACTGGGTTTTTTGGAGCTTACAGTCCCCAAGTGGGCATTTGAAGGCATAGACGACGTTAGTCTCTTTTAAAGCGTTCTGTTTCGTGTCTGGAGAGTTTCTCATGAGTAGGCTGGCCGTTTTTTCTGGTTTTATAGTAAATCGTCAGTTGTATCCTCTGATTTTTGTCTGTAGGGATAACGTTTCTATTAACAATATCTTTCAGGACCCTTTCCTCTGTTTTATGAGCTGTGGAAAAGAAGTTCCTGTAAAATAGTCTAATAGGGGGTATAGGTGTTGTGTTAGTTGTCTCTTCGGAGGTTGCATGGCTTTTCACTTTCCTTCTTATGATGTCTTCGATGAAACCATTGGAGAAGCCGTTATTGACTAGAACCTGCCTTACCCTACAGAGTTCTTCGTCGACTTGCTTCCATTCTGAGCTGTGGCTGAGAGCACGGTCGACGTATGCGTTAACAACACTCCTCTTGTACCTGTCAGGGCAGTCGCTGTTGGCATTTAGGCACATTCCTACGTTTGTTTCCTTTGTGTAGACTGCAGTGTGGAAACCTCCGCCCTTTTCCATGACTGTTACATCTAGAAAAGGCAGCTTCCCATCCTTTTCCGTCTCGTAAGTGAAACGCAGCACGGAACTCTGCTCAAATGCCTCCTTCAGCTCCTGCAGATGTCTGACATCAGGTACCTGTGTAAAAATGTCGTCAACATACCTGCAGTATATGGCCGGTTTCAAGTTCATGTCGACTAAGGCTTTTTGCTCGATGGTACCCATGTAGAAGTTTGCAAACAGGACACCTAGGGGAGAACCCATGGCGACCCCATCCACTTGCTTATACATGTGCCCATCCGGGCTCAAGAAGGGTGCCTCTTTAGTACAAGCTTGGAGTAGTTTCCTCAGAATACTTTCTGGCATGTCAAGAGGAGTACAGGCTGGATCACGATACACTCTGTCGGCTATCATTCCGATTGTCTCGTCCACAGGTACAATCGGAATGATAGCCGACAGAGTGTATCGTGATCCAGCCTGTACTCCTCTTGACATGCCAGAAAGTATTCTGAGGAAACTACTCCAAGCTTGTACTAAAGAGGCACCCTTCTTGAGCCCGGATGGGCACATGTATAAGCAAGTGGATGGGGTCGCCATGGGTTCTCCCCTAGGTGTCCTGTTTGCAAACTTCTACATGGGTACCATCGAGCAAAAAGTCTTAGTCGACATGAACTTGAAACCGGCCATATACTGCAGGTATGTTGACGACATTTTTACACAGGTACCTGATGTCAGACATCTGCAGGAGCTGAAGGAGGCATTTGAGCAGAGTTCCGTGCTGCGTTTCACTTACGAGACGGAAAAGGATGGGAAGCTGCCTTTTCTAGATGTAACAGTCATGGAAAAGGGCGGAGGTTTCCACACTGCAGTCTACACAAAGGAAACAAACGTAGGAATGTGCCTAAATGCCAACAGCGACTGCCCTGACAGGTACAAGAGGAGTGTTGTTAACGCATACGTCGACCGTGCTCTCAGCCACAGCTCAGAATGGAAGCAAGTCGACGAAGAACTCTGTAGGGTAAGGCAGGTTCTAGTCAATAACGGCTTCTCCAATGGTTTCATCGAAGACATCATAAGAAGGAAAGTGAAAAGCCATGCAACCTCCGAAGAGACAACTAACACAACACCTATACCCCCTATTAGACTATTTTACAGGAACTTCTTTTCCACAGCTCATAAAACAGAGGAAAGGGTCCTGAAAGATATTGTTAATAGAAACGTTATCCCTACAGACAAAAATCAGAGGATACAACTGACGATTTACTATAAAACCAGAAAAACGGCCAGCCTACTCATGAGAAACTCTCCAGACACGAAACAGAACGCTTTAAAAGAGACTAACGTCGTCTATGCCTTCAAATGCCCACTTGGGGACTGTAAGCTCCAAAAAACCCAGTATATAGGCAAGACAACAACATCTCTTTCTAGGCGTTTAACGATGCATAAACAACAGGGCTCCATTAAGGAACATATAATCTCTTCCCATAACCAAACCATCGCCAGAGAAATCCTAGTAAACAACACAGAAATCATCGATAGATACAGCGATAGCAGGCGGCTTGACGTTTGCGAGGCACTACACATCAAGAAGTCAACACCAGCAATCAACAGCCAATTATTGCACAACTATATTCTACCCACCTCAAGACTCCGCTCCAATAGAGAAGCATCAAGAAATATGGACCAATAGGCTTTCTACAAACACTTCTATTCAATACCCATTGTTTCTGTTCTGTCTTGTGTTGATACTTTTAATACCCTATTAATATCCTCTAGTGTTCTGTCTTGTGTTAATGCCACATCATCCTTCCCACCTCACTCAAATGTAATGCCACATCACCCTTCCCACCTCACTCAAATGTAGATATAAAATCAGGGAAACGCAAGTTCTAATCAGTTGTGTATTTGTGAAGTCTTTGAAAATGTAATAAGTTTTACGAAACGCGCCCGTGTCGCGTCAGACTAGAAATAAAAATGAATTTTGGAGAAGTGATTTTTGATTTACCTCCAACAGTGAAGCATATTGTACGAAAGATTGAGAAAATTCGTGTTAAAATTATTAATCTTACTTTTTCGGTCATATTTAATAATATATGTCTACAGGAAAGACTGCTACCAAAATATACTAATATATATATATATATATATATATATATATATATATATATATATATATATATATATATATATATATATATATATATATATATATATATATATAATATATATATATATATATAATTGTGTATATTTCAATATGAACCAATTCCAATTTGCTTTTTTATTCTGGTGGGCAGAGCCAAAAATCGTCGCGGGGGTCAAGATGTGACTCAGATACGCTGTTCACTTTTGAATTCTGGAGACGCCGACCAGTCTATGTTCATCCCGTACCCCGTATCTCTGCTAATTTAGGTGAGGGGGAACCTCAAGCGTCTTTCAACGAAAAACTGATTATTTGCTCAAGCTCCACATTCTAATTATTATACCTTGTTCAACATCATGATGATTATTATGAAGAGTTGCGCATCATAATTAATCTAATTAGTTCCAAATCTTCCTTATTTGAGCTAATTGCACATCCTGATTATTAATGCTCGTTCGACATCTTGATTAATATGTTTAGTTTTATATCTTCATTATTCCAAGTTTTCACAATTTGTTTTCTTCATTTTTCTGTATCTAGTGGATTAGTTTTTTATTTGATTTAATTAAAGGATGAGTTACAAAACATTCAGTGTATGGGAATTTTTTATTATATTTTAAATTATTAACAAATATATGACTTATTCAAATGTTATTGTATTTAATTCTCTGTAAATTTGATGGCAGGAATTATTACAACTATTTTCCATAACCACCATAGCCACCGCCGTATCCTACACCACGTCCAAAGCCCAAACCTAGGCCATGTCCTCCCAAGCCACCACCATATCCGCCACCATGTCCCAGATTGAAGTTAATGGTAGCTCTTCCACCAGCGTAGCCACCACCGTAGCCTCCATATCCACCACCATAGGCTCCATATCCACCGCTGAATCCTCCTAATCCACCACCGTAACCGCCAAATCCACCACCATATCCGCCATAGCCAATACCGCCTGGAGCAGCCATGACAGCTGCAACCAGGACTGCCAACCACACGAAGAACAGCTCGTATTTCTGTAAGAAAATGTTTAGAATTTAATAATACATATTAGAACAGTTATGAATTGAACAATAAAAATTCCCTCATTATTAACAATATGTTATTTATAATAAAAGTATTAACATAAGTTATTTTTATTATATATATATATGTGTGTACAACACTCTTAATGACGTTATTGTATTAATTAAGTTATGTTAATTCTGAATCAACTACAGACTTTGATGCTCAATATCTCTGTCCATCTATCGTACCAAGAAACGTTTTAAAACTCCAACATGAAGGCGAAACTTCTTATGTGCTAGAACCAGTTGAATATAGATTTATTGCTGAAATAATCAGATAAAAGTTTATCACTGATTCAGCGCTCACTATAGACTTGACTCTTGGGTCGAGGAAATGATTGAACGAAATAAATTGGTTTGTACTGTAAGTGCATCTCAGTGGTTCACATTTATTTTTATGGGATGAAAATGTTACGTAAATGTTTAGTTCATTTTTGCAGAGACATTTCAATCAGCTCAGAGTCCTGTCGTTGAGACGAAGGGAAGGGAAGTATCCAGAGAAAGCACTAAGCCATAACGACTACATAGCACTTGGAAGGGATCAGGATAGTGACCAGCGATGTTGTCTAGTCTTATGAATGTGATTGAAGGGTCGAACATTGCTTCCTCGTCCCTCCGCTTGAACATCTCGCAGTCCAGGGATCAATTTCCTCGCTATTCTTACCATATTTATATTAAAAATTGTGTTTTTAATTACTTTTAACCACTTCATAGCCAAACCCAATACAATTAAATATTAACTGTTGTTTGTCTTGATACTTTGTACCAGATGAGTACAGGAACAGACTACTGGTAGCTTTCCCTTCCTGCAACTCATTGTAAGCCTTTCCCACTTCTTTCCTTGGAATACCACCCACTAATTAGTTACCAACTAGGTACCTAGTCACTGTTGGGGGAATACAAACGTATAGTTAAGGATTTGCACCTAGTCAATCTCCATAGCCAAGGGAATGGAACTTAAGCTAAATCGCTTAGCGAAGTGAGGGGCGAGTGTATTACCACTGCGCCAGTTCTAGCTTCCGTCTATGACCCTGGTTCTGCTGTTCCCAGCTTTGAACATTGCATCTTTCTCTACTAGTACCAGACGTGTGCAACTGACCATTGTGGGGAGCGAGAGCAACACAGCGGCTGGTGTCAGGGAGGTGACTGATCTCTGCTACACAGTTCCTCCCTTATATACGTTCACACCCGCCGGGTAACCTTGGTACTCCGCCTTTGTCTACTTAGTCGATTAGAAAAATTTAGTTTTAGAGTTCAATATTATACAACATTTATTAATTTGTTTCAGTAGAATGTTTAATTGATGTGTGGGATTACATATAGTTTAAAGCTTATATTTGTGGCAAGAAGTTAGCTTCCTTTGATTATATTCATGAAAATTTGATACAATTACTGTATATATTTATTATTAAAAACTTATTTTAAATATCTACTTTTCAGTCAATTATTCATAATATTTGAAATACCTTTTGTAATGTTATACATACACTTTCAAGGTGTCCCAGTATTAATTATAAATTTAAATGAAATCACTCTAACCTATTAAAAGCCTTCATAATTCCATTATATTATCT